TTTCATTTTATTTTATTTTTAAAGATGGGGTTTCACCCTGATGGCCAGGCTGGTCTTGAACTTCTGATCTCTGGTGATCCACCCACCTTGGCCTCCCAAAGTGCTAGAATTACAGGTGTGAGCAACCGCACCCGGCCCAAAATATTTTTTAAATTAGCAGGGTGTATTGATGCACACCTGTAGTTCTAGCCACACAGGAGGCTGAGACAGGAGGAGGGCTTGAGCCCAGGAGTTCCAGTGTACAGTGAGCTATGATCACACCACTGCACTCCAGCCGGCAATAGAGCAAGACCTGATTTCTACTATATACATATATATTTTATATACGTATAATATTTACATATATTATATATATCTAAAGATATATAAATAATTCTTTTTTTTTTTTTGAGACAGAGTCTCCCTCTGTTGCCCCAGCTGGAGTGCCGTGGCACGCTCTCAGCTCACTGCAACAACCTCTACCTCCTGGGTTCAAGTGATTCTCCTGTCTCAGCCTCCTGAGTAGCTGGGATTGCAGGTGCCCGCCACCACACCTGGCTAATTTTTGTATTTTTAGTAGAGATGGGGTTTCACCATATTGACCAGGCTTGTCTCAAACTCCTGATCTTGTGATCCACCTGCCTAAGCCTCCTAAAGTGCTGGGATTACAGGCATGAGCCACTGTGCCCGGCCAAAGAATTCTTTTGAAAGATTTCAGACATGTGTCCCTGAAGTCCCTAGGATGTGCTGATAATAAACTCCATCCTGGCCAGTCCCGGTGACTCACACCGGTAATCCCAGCACTTTGGGAGGAGGAGGTGGGCTAACCACTTTAGGTCAGGAGTTTGAGACCAGCCTGGGCAACATGGTGAAACCCCCTCTATATTACAAAAATTAGCTGGCAAGGTGGCAGGTGCCTGTAATCCCAGCTACTCGAGAAGCTGAGGCAGGAGAATTGCCAGCACCTGGGAGGCAGAGGTTGCAGTTAGACAAGATTGCACCACTGCACTCCAGCCTGGGCAAAAAGAGTGAGACTCCATCTCAGAAATAAAGAAATAAATAATAAAATAAACTCCATGCAATGATGCTGAATTTCAGAGGGGCAGGCCAACATGCGTCACTGCACAGATGCGGTGCTCAAAGCGGTGGCTCTCCCAAATCCCATCACCATCACTCACTTTGGGATAAAGGTTTGGAGAGAGGACCTCATCTTTCCTGTGCTCTGAGATCTCCACAACTACAGGCCTTACCCCATCCCATTTGAAAGTCATAGATGTTTTGTTTTTCTTTCTTTATTTTTGAGACAGAGTCTCACTCTGTTGCCCAGGCTGGAATGCAGTGGCACGATCTCAGCTGACTGCAACCTCCGACTCCCAGGTTCAAGTGATTCTCCCACGTCAGCCTCCTTAGTAGCTGGGATTGCAGGCATCCGCCACCACGCCTGGCTAATTTTTGTATTTTTAGTAGAGATGGGGTTTCGCCATGTTGCCCAGACTGGTCTTGAACTCCTGACCTCAGGTGATCTGCCCGCCTTGGCCTCCCAAAGTGCTGGGATTACAGGCGTGAGTCCCTGTGCCCATCCTGAAGGCTGTAGACATTGAGAGAAGGGTGAGCCAGCCTCACAATTGAAGGGCTGCAAAGTGGCTCAGCTGGTGGACCCTAGATCCTGTGACTTGGGCTCAAAACCTCCTTCCATTCTCCTTGGAGTATGGCTCCGTGTTCCTGTCTGTAAAATGGGTACAATCGTCATGATGCTGGCGTTGGCGTGAGGATTAACGAGATGCTGTCAGGCACATAACACACTCAGACATTGTCATCTGTGAGTGTGATCGCTGAACTGCACACACAGGCAGAATTCTGCAGGTAATTTTATGGGGTTTCATATACTCCCCCAAACCCAATCCTCAACTCCTGACCTATAAACCCTCTAATCCATCCCCACCCTCAGCTTAATAACCAGGCTCTGTCTAATGAGTTAGGAGGCGTGAGAGCCCAAAGAGCTCCAGGTGTGGGAGGAGGCGGGAGGCAGGGACTTAAGGTGGGCTGGAGGGGGGCTGAGGGAGGGGCCGCTCCACCATGCGCACAGGACAGCCAGTGTGTCTGAAGCTGCCTGGGCCGTAGAAACAGGCCCCCAGGGGCAGGTGGGATCTTGATTCCAGCTGGCAGTGTGTGGGTGGGGCAGTCTAGACCAGCCAGGCTTTCCAGTCTGCCCAGTGTGGGGGCTGGGCCCATGGAGGCTCCTGGAGGCAGGGGCAGGAGCACTCGGCCTGCACCGACACCTCTGGACCTGGACGGCCCCCCACCCATCCTTCCCAACCTGCAGCCCCTTCCCTGGGTGGGAAGCTGAACCTGTGCGTCCACCCGACATGTCCCTGGATTGTGTGTGAGCAAGTTACATTTGCTGCCTTTGCTGGGTCTGTCCTCAGGGTCCACAAGGTCATGGGAACCATCCCAGGAAAAGCAAACCCGCGTGTGAGCCGGCAGGACACGCCAAGATCACAGAGAGGCAGGAGGTGGCGGGCACACTCTTTGCTGCTGGAAATGCTTCCCGGTACCGGGAGGCCCAGGTCCCCAGATGGGGAAACTGAGGTCCAGTGGGGACAGGACCTTGTTTAGGTCCCTTGAAGAGGCTGGGACAGGAGCGGGGTGTGCGTCATCCATATCCACACCTGTGTTCCAACACATAGACTCTGGCCCTTTGCGTACCCACACCCACTCCTGCATGGGCACATCCTGACAGGAGGGCCCACGCCCCAGCTCCCCTCCCTTGGCACACCCACACCCATGCCTGCTCACATGCTCTAAACCATGAGACCCACGTCCCAAACACACGTGTGCAACATATGGTGGGGGACCCTGCAGTTTCAACAAAGAGCCAGCTCTGGGACCACCATCTGGGGTCAGGGGTCTTGGGGACCTGCATGCCACAGCGTCTTTCCATTTCATAGCTTTTTTTTTTTTTTTTTTTTTGAGACAGAGTTTCACTCTTGTTACCCAGGCTGGAGTGCAGTGCTGTCATCTCAGCTCACTGCAACCTCACCTCCCGGGTTCAAGCGAGTCTCCTGCCTCAGCCTCCCAAGTACCTGGGATTACAGATGTGTGCCACCTCGCCTGGCAAATTTTGTATTTTTAGTAGAGACGGGGTTTCTCCATGTTGGCCAGGCTGGTCTCGAACTCCTGACCTCAGGTGATCCACCCACCTCAGCCACCCAAAGTACTGCAATTTTTTTTTTTTTTTTTTGAGATAAAATCCTGCTCTGTTGCCCAGTCTAGAGGGCAGTGGCACAATCTCAACTCACTGCAACCTCCGCCTCCTGGGTTCAAGTGATCTCCTGCCTCAGCCTCCTAAGTAGCTGGAATTACAGGCACACGTGACCATGCCCAGCTAACTTGTATTTTTAGTAGAGATGGGGTTTCATCATGTTGGTCAGGCTGGTCTTGAACTCCTGACCTCAGGCAATCCGCCTGCCTTGGCCTCCCAAAGCACTGGGATTACAGGCATGAGCCACCACACCTAGCAGAAACAGGTATTCTTGCACTTACACTTGTTTTCATGCTTACACAATCTGTCACTCTCAGGGGATCACCAAATATTCAAATCCACAAAGATACTCATATGTAAACACACGTACAGGCACAAAAATATAGTCAAGAACTGCTCATCATAGATCACACGTCCACAGCCACATTACACACTCAGATACAGACCCACTGAGACACACACATCCTCACCTCCAGAGCCATCTCCCAGCTCATGCTGCAGATACCGGACGAACACACAAAGACAGTTGCAAATACACCCAGTACTGCCACACAAGCACACTCAGAGACACAAATAGCCACACTCCTGCAGAAATAGACACACTTTTTTTTGGAGATACAGTCTCATTCTGTTGCCCAAGCTGGACTGCAGTGGCGTGATCTTGGCCTCTACCTCCCCAGTTCAAGTGATTCTCCTGCCTCAACCCCCTGAGTACTTGAGATTACAAGCATGCACCATTATGCCTAATTTTTATTTATTTATTTATTTTTAGTAGAGCCGGGATTTCACTAAGTTGGCCAGGCTGCTCTTGAACTCCTGGCCTCAAGAGATCTACCCGCCTCAGCCTCGAAAAGTGCTGGGATTACAGGCCTGAGCCACCGAGCCTGGCCTGAAATACATTCTTTTTGTTGGTGGTGGTTAATTTTACTTTAAGTTCTGGGGTCCATGTGCAGATCTTGCAGGATTGTTACATAGGTATACACATGCCATGGTGGTTTGCTGCCTCCATTCCCCCATTACCTACAACAGGCATTTCTCCTAATGTTATCCCTCCCCAATCTCCCTACCCCCTGCTATCCCTCCCCTAGTTCCCCACCCCCCAACAGACCCCAGTGTGTGATGTTCCCCTCCCTGTGTCCATGTGTTCTCATTGTTCAACACCCACTTATGAGTGAGAACATGCGGTGTTCAGCGTTTGGTTTTCTGTTCTTGAATACACACATTCTTAACGTCTCTCCATACTCCTGCAATGACAGAGATGTCAAGCACTCCCTTATAAAACACACAAGTAAGTTTAGATGCACAGAGAAAGGCAAACTCACATGCACTCCAAAAACAGACACACACACACACACATGACTTCCATCCACCTATATAATACAGATCCTTGTACACACAACAAATTAAACACACACAAACACACTCACACGTGCCCACATACCCACACCCCTAGACATCCCCCAGTACACTTGGTCACCACCCAAATGCATTCAGAGATACACAGATATGAAGACACTCATACTTTTGTGCCTTCACCAACACAATCAGAAGCAGGTGCACTCAACCACACGCTGCCTGCCGGCCCGGCCTTCTTTGCAAGCACGTGCAGGAGCTCCTACGCCTAAGGGTAGCCACTGGGGCTGGCACACACAGAGGGTCCCTGATTCTCTCCAGTGCGCCAGGCGCGCGCACGCGCGCGCGCGCGCACACGCACACGCATACAGTCCTCCGCAAGCTCCCTCCACCGTCGCCGCAGTTTCCAGGCGCCTCCCACCCTGGTTGCTCCTTGCACTGTGCAGTGGGGGGGTCCGGGCGGGGCGCAGGGGTACGCCGCGGTCCAGGTGGGCGGGGCGCACCTGGGCTCCTCCCCGGGGGCGGGCCCGACGCAGCGTCGCCCGCGCAGGCGGCCGCACCTGGCTCAGCAGCGGCGGCGGCGGCGGCGGCGGCAGTGGCAGCGGCAGCGGCAGCAGCGGCCCGGCCAGAGCGCGAGCGCGGCGCAGCCCAGCCCAGCCCGAGCGCGGACCCGGCGCCCGCAGCCCCGGCGCCGCCATGGTGGAGGCGGCGCCCCCCGGGCCCGGGCCGCTGCGGAGGACCTTCCTGGTACCGGAGATCAAGTCGCTGGACCAGTACGATTTCTCGCGGGCCAAGGCGGCGGCCAGCCTGGCGTGGGTGCTGCGGGCCGCGTTCGGGGGCGCAGGTACCGGGCTCGGGGGACCGGGGTGGGGGGCGGCGGGACGGGAGCGGCAGGTGCGGGGGGGGGGGCGGGGCGCCGGGCCGGGAAGGCCCGGGGCCGTGGGAACAATAGCGCCGGCCGCCGGGGTCCCGGGGCCGCCGAGCTTCCTGCTCGGCCCGGGCGGTGGACTTTGCCCCGCCGGCTGCAGGAGCGCCGTGGGGGTGGGGCCAGCGGCCCAGCTCCGCGCGGGGGTCCCCGGCGTCCCAGCCTCCAGGTGCGCGGGGCGGGGTCTGCGGGCCGGGTGGGGTCTCCCCCTGCTGGCCTCTGGTTCTCTCCTCCCGCACCCTCTGGGGCCTTCCCTTGCACGCCTTCCTCTCTTTTACACACATCACGCCCCTGCGAGGATATCTTCTCGGTCTCTTCCCCCGCCACACACCCTGGAGACCCAGACCTGGGCCTCGCTGGGGGGACTTAAGCGCTCAGGTCTCCACCACCGCACGCCCCCCAGGCCCAAGACAGACACCCTGCGTCGGCCTGCCTGCGCTGTGGGCGGCGACCGGGGAGCTCAGGGAACCCCCTCTTTCGCCTCCATAGCCCCCTCCAGCGCCCGGCAGCTGTGACTTATGGCCCCATTTTACTGGGGAGGTTAGTGAGCCCAGCCGAAGGGAAATGGCTAGTCTAAGATCGCCCGGGGCGGGGCCCCCCTTAGCTGCGGGGCCTTCTCCTATTAGGGCAGATCATTCACTCCCTCCCCCAGGCCCGCAAGCCTGAGAACCCGAGCCACCCGAATGGGGAGGATGCTGTAATCCCGGGTCCCTAGGATTAGAGGCCCTGGATACTCTGTCCCAGCTTTGGGCAGCTCCACAGCCCCAGGCCAGAGCTGGGATCAGGGCCTGGCCTTGGGGAAGACAGGGGTTATTTAAGGTCTGGGCCTTCCAGGGGGGAGTCGTGGGGGGAACACGATTTCCTCTCACTGGTTCTGTCCACTGGTGTTGGCACAGCCCATCCCCCCTCTCCGTGGCCTTCCCAGATCAACCTGTTCTGGGTGTGGGTCTCGGTGACAGCTGTCCGTCTCCTGGTTCCACCCCAGCCTGTCCCTCTTCCCTCTTTCTCCCAGTCTCTGCCTCTGTCTCTCTTTCGCGTTTCCAGGCATGCATGGCCCACTCTGGAGTCTGCCTGCCTCCAGATATTTGCTTGAGGAAGAAAGAGATTGGAGATGGGACAGCCTCAGCCTCTCACACGTAGGGTTACCAGGCTGTAGAGAACTCAGTGTGGAGAGTCAGAATTGAGTGTGAATCCCAGCTGCACCAGAATGCGCATTACCCCAATTATCTGAGCTTGTTTCCCCTTCTATTAAAGAAGGCATTTGCTCGCTGCTTTATCCGTTTTGCAGATGTTTGTGGGGCAGAGGCAATATGTGCAGGGCACTGCTTGGGTGATGGAGACCCCAGTTACCTCTTTGCAAGGTTGCTGGGAGGCATAAAAGCCACAGAGACCACACCTTCAAGTGGCACAGGGCACTTGATACATGCAAAACAGATGCTCGCTGCTGGTGTGATTGGTGGCGGGATATTTTAATGAATAATATTAACGCTATCCATTATCCCCTGGCCAGGATTCAGAGTAGAAATTACCATCCCATTTCGAAGTGAACTCTGACGAGGGGTGTTGATCCCAATGACCTGACTCACCCATTTCTGTTCTTGTTGACCTAGCTCCCTCTGCTGTGTGACACATGGCAGTGGCTGTCACTACCCTGAGGGTCAAATCCAATCTGTTCCCTGTTCAACTCCCCTAAAAAGAGGACGGGGGGCTGAAAGAAATGGGAGCAGAGTTCTACAAGATTCATGAGCTCTGGGACTCTTGACAGTATGATACCTATCAGGTGCGGGGCTGGGCGCACACGGTGTAAAGGAGATGGCAGGGGATGGATACAGGGCATAGGGGGATGGGCAGGAAACCAGATCTTAGGGAAGCTTGCAGTGGGGCCTCGGAGAGGAAATTCTTGAAACCTTCCAGAGAGGTAAGAGAGCCCACAGGAGGAAAGATTTGAGCCTGGAAGGATGAAGGATGCACTGAAGTGTGACACGGAGAAGAGGTGTGTGGGCAAAGGCTCGGAGTGTGGACCAGCAGGGAACTCTCAGAGAAGATGCAGGTCTTCGGGGTGGTGGTGGGAGGTACGGGAGGCTGCTGAGACTGAGGAAGGCCCTTCAGGCCCCTGGTTGTGGATCTGAGGGCACTGGGGAGCCATGGAAGGTGTTGGGAACTGACAAGGTCATGTATGCAGCGGCCCCATGGGAACAGTGATGGCTCAGAGGAAGGGATAGCTCTGGCCACTCCAAGGCACAGGTGTGAGAAGGCTGTGCAGAAATAAAAATGGAGCCCAAGTTCAGAGATTAGATAAGAAAGGGTTCCAAACCTGGCCAACACGGTGAAACCCCGTCTCTACTAAAAATACAAAAAATTAGCCTGGCATGATGGCGCATGCCTGGAGTGCCAGCTACTTGGGAGACTGAGGCAGGAGAATCTCTTGAACCCGGGAGGTGGAGGTTGCAGTGAGCCGAGATCCAGTCACTGCACTCCAGCCTGGGAAACACAGCCATGCAGTTCCTTATGCCTTCAGAACAGCTGTGTGATGTGTGAGGAAAACTGAGTTCATGTTGGACATTTTTATCCTGGGGAGGTTATCTCAGCTCTCCAAGCCTTGGTGTTCTCGTCTTTACAAGGGGTATAAGAATAAGCGTTGTAAGGATTAAATGACAGGGTACAGGGAAGGTCATGGTATAAATAAATAGGTGGGCTTGGTGGCATGCGCTTATAGTGCGAGCTATCTTGTAGTCCCTCCTGCCCTGTGCCCAGGAGTTCCAGGGTACAGTGAGCTATGATCATGCCACTGTACTCCAGCCTGGACAAGAGTGAGAAGACTCTGTCTCAATCAGTCATCCATCCATCCATACATACATATTTCTATCCATTCACCGATCCATTCATCCATCCATCCATTCATCCATCCATACATACATCTATCCATCCACCCACCCACCCATACATACGTACATTTATCCATTCATTCAACCACCCACCTACACATACATACATCTATCCATTCACCCACCCATCCATCCATCCACCCACCCACCTACCCACCCATACGTACGTACATCTATTTATCCACCCATCCATCCATACATCTACCCATTCACCCACCCATTCATCCATCCACCTATCCATTCATACATCTATCCATTCACCCATCATCCATCCATCCACCCATCCATCCATACTTCTACCCATTGACCCACCTATCCATCCATACATCCATCCATTCACCCATCATCTATCCATCCATACATCTACCCATTGACCCACCCATTCATCCATCCATCCACCCACCCACCCATATGTACATACATCTATCCCTCCATCCACCCATCCATCCATTCATCTACCCATTCACCCACCCATTCATCCATCTACCCATCTATCCATACATCTATCCATTCATCCACCCATCTCTACATACATCTATCCATCCATCCACCCATCTCTACATCCATCCATCCATCCATCCATCTTAGCTATGCTGTAGACCTGTGTTATTCAGTATGGTGGTCACCAGCCAGATGTGACTACTGAGTCACTTGAAATGTGGTTGATCTGAACGAAAATGTGCTATAAATGTAAAATATACTCAGAGTCCCAACGACTAGGTACAGAAACAAAAACTAGTGTAAAATATCTTATTAATACTATTTTTATGTTGATTACATGTTAAAATGATGAGTTGGATCTATATTGGGTTAATAAAATATATTATTAAATTCTTATTGTTTCTACATATGTAATGTGGCTACTAGAAAACCTGACTGCCTATGTGGGCTTGCATTATATGCATTATATTTCTTTTTTTTTTCTTTTTTTCTTTTTTTTGAGACGGAGTTTCACTCTTGTTACCCAGGCTGGAGTGCAATGGCGCGATCTCGGCTCACCGCAACCTCCGCCTCCTGGGTTCAGGCAATTCTCCGGCCTCAGCCTCCTGAGTAGCTGGGATTACAGGCACGGGCCACCATGCCCAGCTAATTTTTTGTATTTTTAGTAGAGACGGGGTTTCACCGTGTTGACCAGGATGGTCTCGATCTCTTGACCTCGTGATCCACCCGCCTCGGCCTCCGAAAGTGCTGGGATTATAGGCTTGAGCCACCGCACCCAGCCTCTTTTTTTCTTTTTGAGACAGCATCTTGCTCTGTGGCCCAGGCTGGAATGCGGTGGCATGATCTTGGCTCACCTCAGCCTCCATCCCCCAGCTTCAAGCGATTCTCATGCCTCAGCCTCCTGAGTAGCTGGGATTACAGGCACGCACTACCACGCCTGGCTAATTTTTGTATTTTTATTTTTCCTTTTTTTCTTTTCTTTTTTTTTTTTTTTTTTAATAGAGATGGGGTCTCGGTATCGGTATGTTGCCCAGGCTGGAGTGCAGTGGCTATTCACAGGCACGATCCCACTACTGATCAGCATGGGAGTTTTGACATGCTCCGTTTCTGACCTGGGCCGGTTCACCCCTCCTTAGGCAACCTGGTGGTCCCCCGCTCCCTGGAGTTCACCATATTGATGCTGAACTTAGTGCAGACACCTAATCGACATAGCGTACTATAGCCCAGAACTCCTGGGCTCAAGTGATCCTCCCACCTCAACCTCTCGAGTAGCTGGGACTACAGGCACGTGCCACCGTGCCCAGCTAATTTTTGTATTTTTAGTAGAGATGGGGTTTCACCATGTTGGCCAGGGTGGCCACATTGTATTTCTATAAGACAGCACTGTTCTGCTGTAAATAATGCTCAGTAAACCCTTTAGCCAAGTGTGGTAGCACATATCTGTAGTCCTAGCTACTAGGGAGGCTGAGGCGGGAAGGTCCCTTGAACTCAGGAGTTCAAGACCAGCCTGAACAACATAGTGAGACCCCATCTCTAAAATAAAGTAAGTAAATGGATAAATACAGTGGAGCTAGGTGTGGTGGCTCAAGCCTGTAATCCCAGCACTTTGGGAGGCTGAGGTGGGTGAGTCACTTGAGGTCGGGGTTGGAGACCAGCCTGACCAACATGGTGAAACCCTATCTCTACTAAAAAATATGAAAATTAGCGAGGTGTGGTAGCACATGCCTGTAACCCCAGCTACTTGGGAGGCTGAAGCAGGAGAATCGATGAACTTGGGAGGCAGAAGTTGCAGTGAGCCAAGATGGCACCATTGCACTCCAGCCTGGGTGACAGAGAGAGACTGTCTCGAAAAAAAGAAAAAGAAAATAAAAATTTTATAGTATAGGCCAGCATGATGGCTCACGCCTGTAATCCCAGCACTTTGAGAGGCCGAGGTGGGTGGATCACAAGGTCAGGAGTTCGAGAGCAGCCTGGCCAGCATAGTGAAACCTGTCTCTACTAAAAATACAAAAATTAGCTGGGCATGGTGGCAGGTGCCTGTAATCTCAGCTAGTCGGGAGGCTGAGGCAGAAGAATTGCTTGAACTCAGGAGGCGGAGGTTGCTTTGAGCTGAGATTGAGCCACTGCACTCCAGCCTGGACGACAGAGCAAGACTCTGTCATGAAAAAAAAAAATTATAGTATAAGGAAGTGGTTCTCAACTGGTGATGGTTTTGACACTTAATTGACATTTGGCAGTGTCTGGGGACATTTTCGGTTGTCATTCATTGGAAGGAATGTACTACAGGCATCTAGTAAGGAGAGACCAGAGATTTTGCTAAACATCTTACAGTGTACAGGACAGGACAGCCCCCCTGAATACAAAGAATTTTCCAGCCCCAAGTGCTGGAAGTACCAAGGCGGAAGAACATGAGTCTGTCGTAAGTGCCTGATAAATGTCAGGGTAGTCCTCGCTCAAGGTTTTGGTGTTTGTTTGTTTTTCTTTTTTTTTTTGAGATGGAGTTTTGCTCTTGTTGCCCAGGCTGGAGTGCCATGGCGCAATCTCAGCTCACCGTAACCTCTACTCCCGGGTTCAAGTGATTCACCTGCCTCAGCCTCCTCGGTAGCTGGGATTACAGGCACATGCCACCACCCTGGTGGATTTTGTGTTTTTAGTAGAGATGGGGTTTCTCCATGTTGGTCAGGCTGATCTCAAACTCCTGACCTCAACGATCCACTCGCCTTGGCCTCCTAAGAGGCTGGGATTACAGGCATGAGCTACCATGCCTGGCTTTTTTTTTTTTTTTTTTTTTTGAGACGGAGTTTCGCTCTGTTGCCCAGGCTGGAGTGTAGTGGCATGATCTCGGCTTCCCAAGTTCAGGCGATTCTCCTGCCTCAGCCTCCTGAGTAGTTGGGATTAGAGGCACCCACCACCATGTCCAGCTAATTTAAAAAATTTTTAGTAGAGATGGGGTTTTGCCATGTTGGTCAGGCTGATCTCAAACTCCTGACCTCAACGATCCACTCGCCTCGGCCTCCCAAAATGCTGGGATTACAGACGTGAGCCACCTCGCCTGACCCTCTTTTTTTTTAAAGACAGAGTCTCATTCTTTTGCCCAGGCTGGAGTACAGTGGCACAATCTTGGCTCACTACAGCCTCTCTGCCTCCGAGTTCAAGGAATTCTCCTGCCTCAGCCTATTGAGTAGCTGAGACTACAGGCACATACTGCCACACTAATTTTTGTATTTTTAATAGAGACAGGTCTTCCTCATGTTGGCCAGGCTCGTCTTGAACTGCTGACCTCATGATCCACTGCAGCTTCCCAAAGTGCCAGGATTCCAGGCATGAGGCACCGTGCCCAGATTTTTTTTTTCTATCTTCAAGGCCCTGAGAAGTTCTGCAGCAAAGAAACGTGTGATTTTGCTGGTGGGAGCAAGACTTGCCCAGTGCCGGGGCTGGGGAGGTAGAGAGGAGGGTTTGGATCTGGGAGACGTTAGGAAGTTGAAACCGAAGGACTCAGTAGATCTGGGGTGAGGGTGTAAAGAAAGGGAAGGAGGGTGATTTCTTACTGCCTTGAGGGCAGGGAGGAGGAGAGGTGGGTAGTAAGATGTTGAGCATTGTGGGAGATGCCCAGGGCTTGGTGGGGATCTCCGCTGGCCGACAGGCTGCAGCAGTTGTAGTCCTCAGGTGGCCCTGGATGCTGTCTCAGGGTAGGGTGGCCTGGGGTGGGTGTGGGGCTTGTCCATTTACAAGGAGACGCCAGTGGGAGGAAAGCTTCTGGAAGGAGGCACTGGGCAGAGAGCCCAGGCGAGATACGGGCCCGCAGATATGCTTTGGAGGCCCCTGCCGGCCTTGGGGAGGCCAGAAACCATAAGGGCAGAACCGAGCTTAGGGAAATTGAGGGAGAGGTGGAGTGGGGCTGGGAGGGCAGAGAGGAAGTGAGCCTGAAATATCTCTTCTTTCAAGGAGCTGAGCTGAGGGGCAGAAAGAAGGCCCAAGTCTACATGTGGGTGGCTCATTTTCTTTCTTTCTTTTTTGAGGCAGAGTTTTGCTCTGGTTGCCCAAGCTGGAGGGCAATGGCATGATCTCAGCTCACCGCAACGTCTGCCTCCTGGGTTCAAGTGATTCTCCTGCCTCAGCCTCCCGAGTAGCTAGCATTACAGGCACGTGCCACCACGCCCAGCTGATTTTATATTTTTTATTAGAGACTGGGTTTCTCCTAGTTGGTTGGGCTGGTCTCCAACTCCCGACCTCAGGGGATCCACCTGCTTCGGCCTCCCAAAGTGCTGGGATTATAGGCTTGAGCCACCGTGCCCGGCCCTTCCTTCCTTTATTGATTGATTGATTGACTGATTGCAACTGAGTCTTGTTGTGCAATGACACAATCTCGGCTCACTGCAACCTCTGCCTCCCAGGTTTAAGCGATTCTCCTGCCTCAACTTCCTGAGTAGCTGGGATTACAGGCATGTGCCACCATGCCCAGCTTATTTTTGTATTTTTAGTAGAGATGGAGTTTCACCATGTTGACAAGGCTGGTCTTGAACCCCTGACCTCAAAGGATCCGCCTGCCTTGGCCTCCCAAAGTGGTGAGATTACAGGCGTGAGCCACTGTATCCAGCCCCCACCCCATCTTTCAAACACACATACAAAACCCCAATATACAAAACAAGGCTGGGCACAGTGGCTCACACCTGTAATCCCAGCACTTTGGGAAGCCAAGGCAGGCAGATCACTTGAGGCCAAGAATTTGAGACCAGCCTGAGGAACATCATGAGACCTCCATCTCTACAAAAAATTTGAAAATTGGCTGGGTGTGGTGGCATGTGCCTGTGGTCCCGGCTACTTGGGAGGCTGAGGCAGGGAGGATCCCTTGAGCCTGGAAATTCCAGGTTGCAGTGAGCCATGATCATGCTACTGCACTCCAGCAAAAACTCAAACAAAGAAAGCTGTGCAGGCTGGGAACACCTGTAATCTCAGCACTTTGGGAGGCTGAGGTGGGCAGATCTCTTGAGACCAGGAGTTCGAGACCAGTCTGGCCAAAATGGTGAAACCCTGTCTCTATTAGAATACAAAAATTAGCCAGGTGTGGCAGTGTCACCCCTATAATTCCAGCTGCTCAGGAGGCTGAGGCCTAAGAATCATTTGAACCCGGGAGGCAGAGGTTGCAGCGAGCCGAGATTGCACCACTGCACTCTAGCCTGGGTGACAGAGAGAATTTTGTCTCCAAAAACCCCCACAAAAGCTGTGCAAAGTAGAACAAGAGCTGGACAGGCGACCCACTGTTGATTTCAGTCACCTCCTCCCCAACTCCTTCTTCTCTCCACTCTTGGTCCTATCTTGGGGGTTTCTGCCCCCATCCCCCTGTCCACCTGGGGCTTCCTCACACCTCTTCCCACTGTCCTATTCAGGGATCTCAGGCTGCCTATATGATGTGCCCTCACCATCCCCCTAAGCCCCAGACTCTCAATATAGTCTGCCTCAAGGATGTCCCCAAAGCCCCTCAACGTTCAGTTTCACCCCTTTACCTCCCTCTCCTCCTACACCCTACCTCATTCATCACCCCTCTGTTCCATCTTCCCCCTTAGACCCAGCAGGGCCCTGGCCACCTCCCTCTCTGTCCTTTGCCTCCCTTCAATCACTAGGTTTGGGTCACTCAACTCCCGACGTGCCTGTGGTGTACCCACCTCTGCTTGCCCGTGTGCCCCCGGCTCATCCCACCCTGCCTGCAAGCTGAGAGAGGGTGTCCAGTTTGCTATGTCTAACCCCGATCCTGGTGTTGAAGAGCCATGTGACCTGGGGCAAGGGACTTCCTTTCTCTGTGCCTCAGTTTCCTCCTCTGTAGCATAGAGGTTGCCAGTTGGGCCCTGGCTGCCTCCTAGCATTGACGTAAGGCTTCGGTAAGTCTACACCAGCAAGTGCAGGGAGGCTCTTACCATTGGGATTGCCATTGTTACTGTCTTTCCTGAGACCTACAAGAGCTAGGGGTTGTGGCCTGGGGTTGTGGGAAGCCTCCCCTCCTTTCCACTGTAAGCGCCCATCAGCTCCCTGAGGCACCGTGTTCTCTTCCACCCACTGGGCTTTGCATCTGCAGGCCCTTCTGCTGCCTACACCATCACCCTTTCCTCTAGCAAACTCCGGCGCATCTGCACTCTCAGCCCAGATCCCCTCTCTCCCTTCCTGATGCCATCCTCCCTGGTCCAGATCCACTCTTAATCTGGGCCATGTGATCGCGCGTGTGTGTGTGTTTCTGTGTATGTTGTATCTGCTAACCCTGACCTCCGTGTTTCCCCTCTATGCCCTCACAGAGCACGTACCCCCGGAGCTGTGGGAGCCCTTCTACACTGACCAATATGCGCAAGAGCACGTGAAGCCCCCAGTGACACGGCTGTTGCTCTCAGCCGAGCTCTACTGCAGGGCCTGGCGCCAGGCACTGCCACAGCTTGAAACACCCCCCAACCCCTCTGCACTGCTGGCCCTGCTGGCGCGGAGGGGCACTGTGCCTGCATTGCCTGAGCGTCCGGTGCGCGAAGCCGACCTGAGGCACCAGCCCATTCTCATGGTAGGCCCCGCCCCTGCCTGTTAGACCATGCCTACCATGCTAATCTCCTCCCCTCAAGCTCCTCCCACCAGGCCTGGCTTCTCCCGAGTTCCGTCCACCAGTCCTGGCTCCTCCTCTCAAGCTCTGTCCATTAAGCCTACCTCCTCCCATCAGGCTTGGCCCTCCCCCAGGTTCCTTCCACCAGGTCTGGCTCCTCCCCTCTAGCGCTAGCCATTAAGCCTAGATCCTCCAATCAGTCTTGTCACCGTCCCTTAAGCTCTGTCCATCAAACCTAACTCCTCCCACTAGTCCTGGCTCCTCCCCTCAAGTGCTGTCTATTAAGCCTAGCTCCACCCCCAGCCCTGGCTCCTCCCCTCAAGTGCTGTTCATTAAACCTAGCTCCTCCCCCCAGTCCTGGCTCCTCCCCTCAAGGTCTTCCCATCCAGCCTGGTCTCTCCCATGGAACCCAGCTTCCCGAAAAGGCCATACTCTGGCCCTTGAGGGTTTGCATACACAACCTATTCTATCTTTAGGCCTAAATCTGACTTCAGAGTCTCACCTATCATGCGTGGCTCTTCCAGGATTCCATTTCTGGTTCCTTCCCTTAAGGCCCCACCCATGAACCACTGGCCCCGCCCCTGCCAAGTCCAGGTTCTTCCTTTTCTCAGGCCCTTGGGGGCCAAGGCGCGCCTCAAGCATCTCTCGGGTCTCACCCTCCAGCCCTTGCCCCCACAGGGAGCCCACCTAGCTGTCATTGATGCCCTCATGGCTGCCTTTGCCTTCGAGTGGACAAAGACCCTGCCAGGTCCCTTGGCCCTCACGAGCTTGGAGCACAAGCTGCTTTTCTGGGTGGACACGGTAGGTGGGGTTGGGCCCAGGGTGGGTTCTGGGACCAGCATTGTCCAGTGGCCAGACCACTGACCACTTCCCTGCCCTCCAGACCGTCCGGCGGCTGCAGGAGAAGACAGAGCAGGAAGCGGCCCAGAGAGCCTCTCCAGCAGCTCCTGCAGACGGGGCGGCCCCAGCGCAGCCCTCGGTGAGGCCAGGGCATGGAACGGAGGGAAGGATGGAGGACGGGAGAGCTGGGAGGGCAGGGTGGCGCTGTGTTTCCCAGCCATTCCTGAAGTGGGGGGGAGGGCTAGAGGTGACACACACTCTCTTTCTTCCCCTCTCTGTCAATCTCTCTGTGCCCCGCCTGTCCCCTGCGCCGGTACCCGCTGCCCTCCTCTCTGCCTCTCTGGCCTCAGTGCCCTACGCGCTGGTACTGGAAGCTGGTTCCTGTAAGTGGGGCTGTCTGTCTGCCCCGTCTGCCTGCCCTGCTTGTAGCTCTGTCTGTCTGTATGTCTGTTTCTGCCTGCCTGTCTGCACGCCCTCCTACCTCCCTAAGTTGTGAGCAAAGGAGGTTGGACCCCAGCCCTGGGAGACAGGGAGAAACCCCTCTGTGAACCAAGAGAAGAGTAGAATCTTGGCCATTAAGAGGGCGGACCCCTCACCAGCGAACTGATGGATAGATGAACTTTTCCTCCAGTTTAGTCAGAAGGACGAACACTCCCCCTTCCCATTAATGAAGAGGGTGGGGCCTCCTGAGCCTGTCCCCTTAGCGATTGTGGGGAGACCACAGAAATTTCTGAAGAGGGGACCTGCAGACCGTCACACACGTGGATCCTGACCCTAGCAGGCAGGGTACCCTCTAGCCCAGAGGAAGGCCCACCAACCCAGAAGACAGAATAACCTTCCTGAGATACCCCCAGCTTCCCTCAAAAAAAAATCCCAGCTTTGAGGAGGAGGCCCATCCTTGAAGCTGGAAGTTGAAATGTCTCTCTTCCCTGACTGAGCTGTGTGACCTTGCAGAAATATCTAAACTCTGTGCTTCATATAAATTCCTCCCATAGCAGATAAACAAGGGGGACATGGGGGGGGTTTGGGTTGGCTGGGGTCCCCACTTTTGCTCACTCCTTCCCCCGACCCTGGGGCCTGGGTTGGGAGGTTCCCTTCCTGCCTACCTGCTTCCTTTGCATCCTTTCCCTAAGCTGGGGGCCTGGGTCTTTTGTGGGAGGAGGATTCCCCACATAGGAGGCTACTCTGTGGGGTCCCCTGGGGCTGGGAGGAGCTCGGGTTCTCAAAGCCGGCCACAGCAGTCAGGACCAGGGCTCAGGACCAGGGTCAGGGCTACCCCCTCCCCCCAAGGTGGGCTTGGGGGCCCAGCAGGTCAGCGCCCCTCCGCCTTGCTGATGGCTGCTCCTCTCCCCCCCAGCACGCAATTGCCTTCTGTTTGAAGGAGTCGGGGAGCAAACCCCCCATGGTAATGTATCCCCCGCCCCGGGGTCCCAGGAGTCCCTGTCCCCAGCCCTTGCTGCTGGCCTGGCTGCTCGAAGACATCTCCTCTGCCTCTCGCTGCTGCCCCTCCCCTGCTCCAGGCTGGCCCCCCACTCTGTCTCTGGGACCCCCAGCTTCCCGCCCCCTCATGGCGGAAACCCCAGGCCTCCCCGCCCAGCCTGCATGACCGCTGACCCAGGAGGCCAGCCTGACCACTCACCTGACCTGGCTCCCATCCACAGATCCGATACCGCAAGGACCGGGTGGTGGCACGGCGTGCCCCCTGCTTCCCAACAGTGACCAGCCTCCAGGACCTGGCCAGTGGGGCTGCACTGGCCGCCACCATCCATTGCTATTGTCCCCAGCTGCTTCGACTTGAGGGTGAGTAAATGGATGCAGACTAGACCTTGTGCAGGGGAGCTGGGCATCCTGAGTCCCAGCCCGCAGGTCCCAGCTCTAGGTCTTCGAGACCAGTAATGACACAGTGGTCTTGAGTGCAGCTTCCAGAATTGGCAGGCCTGAGTTTGTGTCTCTCTCTTTCCCAGTTAGCTGTGTGACCTCACAAAAGTGTCTAAACCTCTCTGTGCTTCCAAGAATTCATTCCTGCAGCAGATGAAATGTATGGAGTGTGGACTGTGTGCCAGACCTTGTTTTAGGCACTGGGGATCCAGCCAGAATAGAAACACACTCCCAACCTCACGGATGGCTTTAGCTGGGGGAGAAAGATACTAAGTTTATCCAGAAGTACTTTTTTTTTTTTTTGAGATGGAATCTTGCTCTGTTGCCCATGCTGGAGTGCACTGGCGCAATCTTGGCTCACTGCAACTTCCACCTCCTGGGTTCAAGTGATTCTCCTGCCTCAGTCTCCCAAGTAGCTGGGATTTCAGGCTCCCGCCACCATACCCAGCTAATTTTTTATATTTTTAGTAGAGACCAGGTTTCACTATGTTGGCCAGGCTGGTCTCAAACTCATCCGCCTGCCCCTGACCTCCCAAAGTCATAAGCCACTGCATCCAGCCATTGACTTTTGTTTCCCCTTGAGACGGAGTCTTGCTCTGTTGTCCAGGCTGGAATGCAACAGCATGATCTCAGCTCACTGCGACCTCCACCTGCTGGGTTCAGGCCATTCTCCTGCCTCAGTCTACCGAGTAGCTGGGACTACAGCCACATGCCACCACTCCCAGCTGATTTTGGTACTTTTAGTAGAGATGGGGTTTCACTGTGTTGGCCAGACTGGTCTCAAACTCCTGACCTTACGTGAAGCACCTGCCTTGGCCTCCCAAAGTGCTGGGATTTTGGATGTTGGCTATTCCTAAAGGCAATGCGTGGTCAGAAAAAGCCTTCTTTTTTTTTTTTTTTCCAAAAATTAAATTACAAGTTATAAATATAATTGTTTAAGTTATAAATTTAAAAATTTATAAAATAGAGATGGGGTCTTGCTATGTTGCCCATGCTGATCTTGAACTCCTGAGGTCAAACATCCTCCCGCCTCAGCCTCCCAAAGTGCTAAGATGGCAGGCGTGAGCCACCACACCTGGCATGGAAAAGCTTTTTGAGTTGGGGTCTTGTGGGAGAGTGTTCTAGAAAGATGCAAAGGCCTAAGGCAGAAGTCACCAACCTTTTTGGCTCCAGGGACCACTTTAGTGAAAGAGAATTTTTTTATGAACAGAAGCAGGGAGGTGGTTTTGGGATAATTTAAGCACATTCTTCTTTATTATGTACTTTATTTCCATTGTTATTCTCTTGTAATATATACTGAAATAATTCTACAACTCACCATCATGTGGCATCAGTGGGAGCCCTGAGCTTATTTTCCTGCAACTAGATGGTCCAGCTGGGGCTGATAGGAGACAGTGACAGATCATCAGGCATTAGATTCTCATTAGAAGCATGCAACCTGGATCCCTCCCATGTGGGGTTCACAGTAGGGTTCCCGCTCCTGTCAGAATCTAATGCCACCGCTGATCTGATGGAGGCAGGACTCAGGTGATCGTGGGAGTGATGGGGAGCAGTTGTAAATACAGATGAAGCTTTGCTCACTTGCCCTGGCTTACCTGCTGTGCGGCCCAGTTCCTAACAGGCTGCTCCACCACAGGGGGTTAAAGACCCCTGGCCTAAGGATGGTCTATCATAGAATTCAACTCTTGCCAGTTATGGTGGCTCACATCTGTAATCCCAGCACTTTGGGAAGCTGAGGCAGGTGGGTTACCAGGTCAGGAGTTCAAGACCAGCCTGGCCAACATGTTGAAACCCTGTCTCTACAAAAAATAAAAAATTAGCTGGGCATGGTAGTGGGCACCTGTAATCCAGCTATTTGGGAGGCTGAGGCAGGGAAGTGCTTGAACCCAGGAGGTGGAGGGGAGTTGAGATTGCACCACTGCACTCCAGCCTGGGCAACAAGAGTGAAACATGGTCTCAAAAAAAAAAAAAAAAAAAAAAAAAAAGCTGGGCTCGATGGCTTATGCCTGTAATCCTATGTAATCCTAGCACTTTGGGAGGCTGAGATGGACGGATCATGAGGTCAGGGGTTCAAGACCAGCCTGACCAATATGGTGAAACTCCATCTATAAAAATAAAATAAAGAATTCACTTCTCGAAGGGCACCTGGTAGAAGCTTGGCTCACAGGAGGTCTTCTGTGTGGGGGGATGCTCCTCCCTGGCTTCCATGGGGCCCCCATCCTCCTCCTCATAGAGTCGGGGACCCACTCCTCCCGTTCCCACAGAGGTATGCCTGAAGGACCCCATGTCTGTGGCGGACAGCCTGTACAACCTCCAGCTGGTGCAGGACTTCTGCGCTTCCCGCCTTCCTCGTGGCTGCCCCCTGTCCCTCGAGGACTTGCTCTACATCCCCCCGCCGCTCAAGGTAAGACCAGCCCAGGCATCTGGGGTTGGGGGTCCCCAGGGGTCCCGTCCACTGACTCGGCCTCCCACCTCCAGGTCAACTTGGTGGTGCTGCTGGCTGAGTTGTTCATGTGTTTTGAGGTGCTCAAGCCTGACTTCGTGCAAGGGAAGGACTTGCCGGATGGTCACGGTGAGGCCCTGGGGGCCAGGTGAGGAGGGGGCAGGAGAGCCAAACCTCACCTGACCCTCTGCTTTGTACCGCAGTCGCCTCCCCCAGGGGCACGGAGGCCCCCCCACCTCAGAACAACAGCGGCAGCAGGTACGGTCCGTGCACGGGATGAGTCTCCGGCATCATGGGTGGGGGGCTCCTGGTCCGCCCTGCTGGGCACTGGGTCGCAGCTGGGCGACGCCACTGTCTCCACCCTGGGGAGAGGCGGAGGACGAGTGGGGGTCCTGTGGCTGAAGTACGTCTCTCGGTACAGTTCTCCTGTCTTCAACTTCCGCCACCCACTCCTGTCACCTGGCGGCCCCCAGTCCCCACTCCGAGGATCCACAGGTGAGGAGGGGAGGTGGCTTCTGTCACGGGGAAACGTCCCACCCACAGACTGCCCCAGTGGGCCTCATGTTGTCTCCTCCTGGGCCTTCCAGTAGCCCCTCCATCAGGACCCCCTTGGGCATCCCAAGGTGACCCCCAGAATGGCTTCCCCAGAGGTCCCACAACACTCTGTAGTGACAGTAAATGGTCCCTGGTATCTGTTTTTGGAAACCTCTGGTCTCACTAGACACATAATGAGCCCTCAGTGACTCACCCAATGACCTTGTAGAGTTTGTCCCCAGATGCTGGCTGACCCCACCTGGGGTCCCCAGGGTCAATGTAGTGACCACTTACCACCTCCCCCAGGCTCCCTGAAGTCTTCCCCGTCCATGTCCCATATGGAGGCCCTGGGCAAGGCCTGGAACCGGCAGCTCAGGTGAGCGTACCTCACAGGCCAGGGTGCAGGGTGGAGCATGCTGGGCCCGGGTGGGGCCGAGGCTAGTCCCAGGGGCTGACCCCACCCTCTGGCCGCCCAGCCGTCCCCTCTCCCAGGCTGTGTCATTCAGCACCCCCTTTGGCCTGGACAGCGACGTGGATGTCGTCATGGGAGACCCTGTGCTCCTCCGCTCTGTGAGCTCGGACAGCCTGGGGCCCCCACGTCCGGCGCCAGCCAGGACCCCTGCCCAGCCCCCCCCGGAGCCTGGCGACCTGCCCACCATTGAGGAGGCTCTGCAGATCATCCACAGTGCCGAGCCCCGGCTGCTCCCAGATGGGGCGGCCGATGGCAGCTTCTACCTCCACTCCCCTGAGGGGACCTCCAAACCACTGTCCGACAAGCCCACCAAAGCACTGGTGTACATGCCACACCCCGAGACCCCCTCAAAACCATCTCCCTGTCTGGTGGGGGAGGCATTGAAACCGCCGGCCCCATCTGAGGGGTCCCCGAAGGCAGTGGCTTCGTCCCCAGCGGCCATCAACTCCGAGGTGAAAATGACCAGCTTTGCGGAACGCAAGAAACAGCTGGTGAAGGCAGAGGCTGAGGCTGGAGCAGGGTCCCCCACGTCCACTCCGCCCCCACCAGAGGCCCTGAGTTCAGAGATGAGTGAACTTGGTGCCCGGCTGGAGGAGAAACGAAGAGCCATTGAGGCTCAGAAGCGACGGATTGAGGCCATCTTTGCCAAGCACCGCCAGCGGCTGGGCAAAAGCGCCTTCCTGCAGGTGCAGCCAAGGGAAGCTTCTGGGGAGGCGGAAGTGGAGGCCGAGGCCGACCCAGGCCCAGTCCCTGGTGGGGAGCGGCCGGCGGGCGAGGGCCAGGGTGAGCCAACTTCACGGCCCAAGGCAGTGACCTTCTCGCCAGACTTGGGTCCGCTGCCCCCCGAGGGGTTGGGGGAATACAATCGAGCGGTCAGCAAACTGAGTGCTGCTTTAAGCTCGCTGCAGCGGGACATGCAGAGACTCACGGACCAGCAGCAGCGGCTCCTGGCTCCACCGGAGGCCCCTGGACCTGCCCCACCCCCTGCTGCATGGATCATCCCTGGCCCCACAACGACGGGGCCCAAAGCCTTGTCCCCCAGCCCCGCCCGGCGGGTCCCCACCACCCGGCGCAGCCCTGGGCCTGGGCCCAGCCAGTCACCCCGAAGCCCGAAACACACCCGGCCGGCGGAGCTGCGGCTGGCGCCCCTGACCAGGGTGCTCACACCACCCCACGACGTAGACAGCCTCCCCCACCTGCGCAAGTTCTCCCCGAGCCAGGTGCCTGTGCAGACGCGCTCCTCCATCCTCCTGGCAGAGGGGACGCCCCCCGAGGAGCCAGCCACCCGGCCCGGCCTCATCGAGATCCCGTTGGGCAGCCTGGCAGATCCCGCCGCTGAGGAAGAGGGAGACGGGAGTCCCCCTGGTGCTGAGGATTCCTTGGAAGAGGAGGCGTCTTCAGAGGGGGAGCCCCGAGCGGGGCTGGGATTCTTCTACAAGGTGAGTGCCTGAGCAGGCGGCTGGAGGGTCCTGGGCCTGGGTGGACGTGTGTGGAGGGAGAGGTTGACAACTGTTGGGCAAATAGGACTTTACTAAAGATGGTGGGTGGGTGGGGCCAGGTGTGAGTGGACAGAAGAGGTATGAGTGGCTAAGGTCTCCATGAGTTGGGGGAGAAAGGGAGAGGGACATTTATTTGCATGGTGTGGGACCTGCCTCCATCCCGGGCCATGGGATGTGACCCTGTCTGTTGGGTCAAGATTTCCACAGGGGCTGTGGGGGTGCAGCGGGCTGGGAGGTCTTCCTGTGGCTTAATGAGAGGCCCTTAGGTATGTCTGGGGGTGAGGGTTTTCCAGTGGGGGCTGACCCAGTCGAGTCCCTCCCAGACAAGGTATAGGTGACCAGACCGGGGGGACAGATAGATGTAGGGAACGGTGGACAAACAGGGAGGGGAGATGGATAGATGGGCGAGTGGCTGGTTGCATGGGGCGGACAGGACTAGGATCTTCAGGTTACCTCCTTGCTCATGCTCTCCTTCCCCCCATCGCCCCCAGCACAATCCTACCAGCCCTCTTTCCTGGTCTTTTCCCCACATCCACTGTCTCTCTATTCTCATGGCTCCCCCAGCTGGGGCCACCACCGTGTCTCACCTGGACACCTAGGGTCACCTTCCGACTGGTCTCTGCTACCCACCTCCATCCCAGGCCATTTTCCACTGAGCAGTTGGGGACATGGACCGCTGTCCTTACCCTTGCTTTTAAAATGAAAGTCAGCTGGGCGTGGTGGCTCATGCCTGTAATCCCAGCACTTTGGGAGGCCAAGGCAGGTGGATCACGAGGTCAAGAGTTTGAGACCAACCTGGCCAAGGGGGTGAAACCCTGTCTCTCTTAAAGATTAAAAAATTAGCCAGGTGTTGGGGCAGGCACCTGTAATGCCAGCTACTCAGGAGGCTGAGGCAGAGAATTGCTTAAATCCCAGACATGGAGGTTGCAATGAGCTGAGATCACGCCACTGCCCTCCAGTCTGGGTGACAGAGCGAGACTCTGTCTCAAAATAAATGAATAAATAAAAATAAAATGAACTTCCTTCCCAGGCCTTTGGGCTATGCTCACTTTCTTTTTTTGTGATGGAATCTCAATCTTGTCGCCTAGGCTGTAGTGCAATGGCGTGATCTGGGCTCATTGCAACCTCTACCTCCTGGGTTCAAGCAATTCTCCTATCTCAGCCTCTCAAGTAGCTGGGGCTACAAGAGCTTGCCACCACACCCGGCTAAATTTTTGTTACTTTCACTAAAGATGGGGTTTCACCAGATTGGCCAGGCTGGTCACAAACTTGTGACCTCAGGTGATCCACCAGCCTTGTCCTCCCAAAGTGCTGCAATGCAGGTGTGAGCCACCACGCCCAGCCCGTGGTGACTTCTCACTTCTGACTTAGTCCTGTGTCACTGTCCTGTGTCCCAGCCACACTGGCCCCCCTGCACTTCCACGACACCCCCAGTAGGTTTGCTCTGGCCTCAGGGCCGCAGCAGTAGCTGTCCTTTCTGCCTGGTAACACTCTACTCACCCTCAACACCTACCTAGTTAGGTTCTTGTCATTCTACAGGGTGCTTCATCCAGGAAGCCTTCCTAGGTGTCTCCAGGCCAGGCCAGGGTCCTCTCGAAGTGTAGTGGCTGTGCCCAACATGAGCTTTTGCTGGTGTTCACTGCTATCTAGTACCTGTCTTCCCTGTTGGGTTCAGCACTGTGTGTGAGCAGCACCCACCTGTACCCCCTCCTTGGCATGGGGCTGTGTATACAGTAGGCACCAACTAAACGCCTTTAGAACAGTGATCAGAACAAAAGCACAGGTGGCTGGCAGGCAGGCTGGGTGGACAGAAGATGGGCCTCCAACCATGCCACGGAAGGGGTAGCTGGCTGAACTCAGCATCTGTCCCCAGGATGAAGACAAGCCTGAGGATGAGATGGCCCAAAAGCGGGCCAGCCTGCTGGAGCGGCAGCAGCGGCGAGCAGAGGAGGCACGGCGGCGCAAGCAGTGGCAGGAGGTGGAGAAGGAACAGCGGAGGGAGGAGGCTGCAAGGTGAGGCCAGGTCTGCCCTGAACGCTGGCTCCTGGGCCTGTCTGCTGCCAGGGACCCCATGAGCGGTTGTGATGTGGATTTTCTGTGATCTGTAGGCTGGCCCATGAGGAGGCCCCTGGCCCAGCCCTAGCCGTGTCCACAGTCCCTGCAGCCCCCATGGCCACCCCGGCCCCTGCTGCCCGGGCTCCAGCCGAGGAGGAGGTGGGCCCCCGGCGGGGGGACTTCACGCGGCTGGAGTACGAGCGCCGGGCCCAGCTGAAGTTGATGGACGACCTTGATAAGGTGCTGCGGCCCCGGGCTGCTGGGTCCGGGGGCCCGGGTCGGGGCGGGCGGAGGGCGCCCCGGCCTCGCTCAGGTTGCTGTGACGACTCGGCCCTGGCGCGAAGCCCAGCACGCGGCCTGCTGGGTGAGGACCCTTGGGGGATGGGGCCTGCCCAGTGCCCTTTCCGGGGTTCACTGGGTGAGGCCCCCATGGGAAAAGGGAAGCAGGGGAGATGTAAGCAGGGGTACCGGGCAGGGATGAGTATGTGGGGTGACAGGAGGCCTCAGATGGGATTGGATGCTGTCTCTTGGGTAAAGACTTACATAGAGCACTATATGCGGTGGCTCATGCCTGTAATCCTGGCACTTTGGGAGGTGAGGTGGACAGATCACTTGGGATCAAGAGTTTGAGACCATCCTGGCTAACATGGTGAAACCTCATCTCTACTAATACAAAAGTTAGCCGGGCATGGTGGCATGCACCTGTAGACCCAGCTACAGGGGAGGCTGAGGTGGGAGAATCTCTTGAACCTGGGAGGCGGAGGTTGCAGTGAGCTGACATTGCGCCACTGCCCTCCAGCCTGGGGACAGAGCAAGACTCTCTCTCAAAAAAAAAAAAAAAACCACCAACAAAACCTTTGGGGGTATGTTTGGGGTGAGGTATTGCCAGTAGGGGCTGACCCAGTGCTGCTCCCTACCACCTGCCGGGCAGAGTACCCTTCCCCATAGATGTGTGGGAGGTGAGATTCTAGGGGGTCTGCAGAGGCCTGAGGGGTCTTGGGCAGGGCGGATTCCTGCTGTGTCCCCCCAAGCCTGCTGGACTGGGTGTTTGTGGAGGGCAGGGGCTTCCCGTGGCCACTGACCTGCACTCTCTCCCCAGGCTCTCGGCTGAGCAAAATCTATTCCCAGTCCACCCTGTCACTGTCCACTGTGGCCAACGAGGCCCCCAATAACCTCGGGGTGAAGAGGCCCACGTCTCGGTGAGTTCAGCCTGCACAGGCAAGGGCCGTGTGCTGGGAGCCTCCCAGAGCCTGGGAGGGGTGCAGGCATCTGGGTGAACCTGGAGGGCTGTGTGACTTGAGTGTGTGGCTAAGCCATGAAGAGATGGAGGGACGCGGGTGGGCACATGCACACGAGGGAGACCATACCTGGCAGACAGGACCCAAGCCTGGGCCTCGGTGTACCTGAACGCAGGCTGTCCTGAGGGAGGAAGGGAGGGCACTGCGTAGACTTGGGAGGGAGTTTTGCTTGTCACCCAGGCTGGGGTGCAGTGGCACAATCTTGGCTCACTGCAACCGCTGCTTCCCAGGTGCCTTAGCCTCCCGAAGTGCTGGGATTATAGGCATGAGCCATGATGCCCTTCTTTCCCCTGGCCCCTCTGCACATTGGGAGGCTTCCCCACCTCTGACCCCACCTCCATCCCATCCTTCCCCCACTGCAGGGCTCCCTCCCCGTCAGGCCTCATGTCCCCAAGCCGCCTGCCTGGCAGCCGTGAACGAGACTGGGAGAATGGCAGCAATGCCTCCTCCCCAGCGTCGGTGCCCGAGTACACAGGTAAGCAGGGGCTCTAGGTGCTGTGAGGAGCAACAGGTGCCCTCCTCCATGGCCCCTGCTCATTCCTACTATCCCACCCCCACCTCACCCTTTAGGTCCACGGCTGTACAAGGAGCCTAGTGCCAAGTCCAACAAGTTTATCATCCACAACGCCCTGTCACACTGCTGCCTGGCGGGAAAGGTGAATGAACCGCAGAAGAACCGCATTCTGGAGGTAAGCCCACCTACACATGGGAGTTACGGGCTGGTGGGGGGGTGGCCCGGCTTGGCCGGCTGACCATGTCCGGCACACCCGCCAGGAAATTGAGAAAAGCAAGGCCAACCACTTCCTGATCCTCTTTCGCGACTCGAGCTGCCAGTTCCGGGCGCTCTACACACTGTCAGGGGAGACAGAGGAGCTGTCACGGCTGGCGGGCTACGGGCCCCGGACCGTCACACCTGCCATGGTGGAAGGCATCTACAAGTACAACTCGGACCGCAAGCGCTTCACCCAGATCCCCGCCAAGACCATGTCCATGAGCGTCGATGCCTTCACCATCCAGGGACACCTCTGGCAGGGCAAGAAACCCGCCACGCCCAAGAGGGGCGGCAGCACCCCCAAATAGCCCCACTCGGGGCTGGGCCCCGTGTGCTGCGGCCACCGTCTCCCGGAGGACAGTGAGTGGGTGTTCCTGGGTCCTGTCTGTCCCCAGCCGTTTCTGGGTGGGGCTGGAGCCTCCACCCTCTGAGTCCAGTCCTGCTGTGGGGGCTGAGCTGGGAGGTTCAGGGACTCAGGGCTCAGCTCAGTCCCCTTGTCTGTCCTTCCCCACTTCTTGAATAAAATAATTTAAAGAGAAGTTGAGCCTTGTCCCCTCCAAGGCTGGCCGGGGTCCCACACTCCCTGGGCGTGTTTCCGGTCTCCTGTTCTTTCTCAAACCAACTCATGTTTTCTACCCCTATAATCTTCTAATGCAGCTGCTGCCACAGGGTCTGTGAGGGCCCTGCCTCCCTGCCATCACCCCCAGCCCCCACCCAGGGGTGTTTCGCTGGCCCTGCTTGCTGGATTCTGCGTGGCATTTGTTACTGGCCCTCACCGGCATTTGGTGTGGGGCCAAATTCTACGTCCACCCTGAGCCAGTGATTCTGGGTTTCTCTTCTCTGAGGATCCCGTTGCCCCTTGGCATGGCCTGGGCATCTCAGATGCAAGGCCCACCACACAACCCAGGCTGGCACTGGCTGCCCAGCTTCTGCCCAGTCCCACATAGCTCGGCTCTCCCGCTTCATTCACTCCTCTCCAGCCCCATCACCTCTCCACAAAGTCCAAGCCAACAGACCAAGCCGCCCCATGTCCCCAGCTGCCTCCTGCCGACACAGCAGCCTGTGTGACCCAGTCCAAGCACAAATCTGATTATATCCCTTGATGCTTAAAACCCCTTAATAGCCTAGAGCCTGATAATGGCTTCCCAGGCTTAGGACTAAGGACCACGCCCTGGTGCTGGGCCGTGCAGGACGTCTGGCACCCAGCCCCCCTCCAGGCACAGAAGAGCCTTACTAATCAGTTTCCAGAGCTGGGCCAGAGCCTGCCTGACTCCAAGGCTCGCTCTGACAGTGGGTGCCACCCTGGGAGGTGGCAGATGCCTGGGACAACAGAAGGGCTCTGAGAGGCAGGGGCTAGTGAGACCTGGGCAGCCAGGGACGGGATCACCCTTCCACAGCCATAGAGTCTCAAGGAGGTTTCTGGGCAGGACCCACTCCAAGGCCCCAGGCAGCGGAGGGACTGGCTGCCCGAGTCCAGAACTGGCTCTGCCGGGTGGGGCTGGGTGGTGTCTGGCCTGGGGCCCGGCCGCCCCACCTCCCGCAACAGCCAATCCGGGCCCAGGGCCAGGCACTCCTGAGCTGCAATCCCTCGGGCACCTGGGCAGCAGGAAGGAGGCTCAGACCATGATGTACAAACACGGCTGTATTGGGGGAAGGGAGGAGGGATGGGTCAGTCTTCTTTCAGGCTCCCGAACACGGCAGCTGGCACGCTCTGCTGCTCTAGCCGGACCTCTGTGGAGGAGGTGGGAGCCAGTCACCCTCCGGGCAGTGTCCTATCCTGAGGCCCGCCCTGCCCTGCTCCCCGCCAGGCACTCACCGTTGGGCTCCAGGTCCATCTCGTCCTCGTCCTCATCCTCGCCCAGCTGGATTTCCTCGGGGTTGACCTGCTGCGCCAGCTCTGCCAGCTCCTCCCTGGAGGCGTCGCTCCTGGGGACAGAACAAGCTGCCTCAGTTCCCCACCCCAGGACCCCGTGGGGCTGTCCCTGTCTTGTCCCCTCCCAGGACCTGCCCTCACCTCACGAACAGGATCTTGCTCTGGGCGCGCAGGGGCTGGTCTCGCTCTGCCTCGGCTGCCAGCTGTTCTGCACGCTGCTCCAACAGCTTCATGTCATCCATGCCGCTCTGCCCAGGGGCCAGGTCGGACACTGTGGGGTGAAAGCAGGGGCAACGGTGCCATGGGGGCCCCTCCCACACATCAGATGCCAAGCTGTCCTGGTCCCCCAGGCAATGGCCCTGCCCTCAAGGAGGTTCCCATGAAGCCCCAGGGCTCCCAGATCCAAAAAGGAAGGCCAGGTCAGGCTGAGATGCCCCAGCCGGCCAAGGTGAGCGATGGCTGCGTGCTCACCAGTGCCCGTGGCGCTGCCGGAGACCTTGAGCATCTGCGAGGCCATGAAGTTGACCTGTGTGTTGTATGTGGCCTGCACACTCCGCCGGATGCGCAGCATCTCCTTGACGGTGTCCTCGTTGCCATGCCGGACCTCAAAGTCCTTCCATGTCTGCCAGAACGCCCCGGTCGTCTGTGTGGGGGGCAGGGCAGGGCAGGTGCTCATGAGCTGGCTGGCTCCACCGTAGCCCCCAACCCAAATACCTGTTCTCCCACAGCCCCCAGCCCTACCCGGGGGTCGCAGATCTGGGAGCAGAAGCTGTAGATGGCCCGGGCGCGGTCGATCTCCCCCAGCTTGCACTCCATGTCTGCGAACCGCAGGCACATCTCACGTGCATGCTCATCGGACAGCACCTGCGCACGACGACGGGTCGGTGGGGGGTGGTTAGGGAGGCCAGGAAAGGTGAGGCCACGGGGAGTGAGGCCGGGGAAAGAGCCTGGGGGAGTGAGGCCTCAGAGAGTGAGACTGCAGGGAGTGAGGCCGGAAAGGGAGGCCAGGAGTGAGGCCACAAGGAGTGAGGCCTTGGGGAGTAAGGCCAGGGTGGAGTGAGAACAGGTTGGGCTGAGGCCAGGGGAAGTGAGGCCTCAGGAGAGTGAGGCCTTGGGAAGTGAGGCCAGGGGGAGTGAAGCCAGGGAGGAGTGAGGCCTCAGGAAGTAAGGCCAGTGGGAGTGAGGCCACAGGGAATAAGGCCAGGGGGAGTGAGGTCGGGAATGAGGTGCAGGGAGTGGGGCCAGGAAAAGTGAGGCCGGGAGTGAGGCCTCAGGAAGTGACGCTGGGTACTGAGGCTGGGAGTGAGCCAGGGAGTGAGGGGGGCAGTGAGACCTAGGGTTGGAGTGAGGCTGGTGGGAAGGAGCAGTCATGTGGGAGGGTTGGGGGGTGAGGCTGCAGGGAGTGAAATGAGGGGGGTGAGACAGGGAGGGGGAGTGAGGCTGGGAGGAGTGAAGCCTCTGGGCAGTGAGGCCACAGGGACTGAAGCCACGGGGGAGTGAGGCCAGGGCGGGGGAAGGAGTGAGGCTGGGAGGGAGTGAGGCCGGGGGGGAAGAGTGAGGCTGGAGTGAAGGAGTAAGGCCTGGGGCAGTGAGGTGGGGTGGAGTAAGATGGAGGGGGAGTGAAGCCAGTGGGAGGGAGTGAGGTGGGGGAGTAGCTGAGGAGGTGAGGCTTTGAGGGGTGAGGCGGTGGCAGGGGGAGTGAGAGGCTGTCGGGGGTTGAGGCCGGGGGGAGTGAGGCCGCAAGGAGTAAGGCTGGGAGGCCTTGAGGAATGAGGCTGGGGACCTGGGGGGTGAGGTCTGGGGGTGTGTGGCCAGGAGGGATGGAGGGGGAGTGAGGCCAAGTGGGGTAAGACGGGTGGCATGAGGCTGGGGGGAGTGAGGCTGAAAGGGGTGAGGCCAAGAATGAGCCTGGGAGTGAGGCCGTGGGAGGGGGAGTGAGGCCGTGGCGGGGAAGGGAGTGAGGTGGGGGGCAGTGAGCACAGAATGCACAGGCAGTGAGGCAGGGGGAGGGTGAGGCGAGGAGGGGGTGTGAGGCCTTGGGAAGTGAGATGGGGTGGGTGAGACCAGGAGGCGTGAGGCCTAGGGGAGTGAGGCCACCGGGGAGTGAGGCCATGGGGGATAGTGAGGCAGGGGCGGGGAGGAGTGAATCAGTGTGGGGGGTAGGGGAGTGAAGTGGGGAGGAGGAGTAAGGTGGGGAGGCAGTGGCCATGAGAGATGTAAGCAGGGGTGACGCTGAGGGGGAAGGAGTAAGGTCGGGGGAGTGAAGTGGGGGAGAAGAAAGTTCAGGGGAGTGAAGCCAAGGATGGGGAGGGGAAGTGAGGCCAAGATGGGGTGAGGCCAGGGGGAGGGGGTGAGGCCGGGGGAGGGGGTGAGGCCTTGGGGGGAGTTAGGCCAGGGGGAGGCAGTAAGGCTTGTGGGGGTAGTGAGGCCAGGGTAGGGGAGTAAAGAGGGAGGCTGGGGGGAGTGAGATGGTGGCAGTGAGTCAGGGGGTTGGGGGAAGGAGTGCTGCCTCTGGGAATGAGGCCAGGGGCAGAGGCTGAGAGTGAGGACGAAGGGAGTCAGGTGGGAGAAGTGAGGCTGGGAGGCCTCCGGGAGTTAGGCCTGGGTCAGGGAGTGAAGCGGGGGAGGAGTGAAGCAGTGAAGGAGAAGGGCTATTCTAGGGGAGTGAAGGGAGGAGAAAGCCAGAGGAGGGAGAGTAGCCAAGGGGCATGTGAGGCCTCAGACGCTGAGGCCGGGTGGTAAGGCCATGCAGGGGAGGCTGAGGTGAGTGAGGCAGAGGGCTGGGGGAGTGAGGCCGGGGTTGGGGAGTGAGGCCTTGGCGGGGAGGCTGGGGTGAGTGAGGCAGGGGGATGGGAGTGAGGCCAGGCTGGGGGTAGTGAGTCCATGGGGAATAAATGAGGGGGTAGGCTCGGGGGCTCCCAACCACACCACAGCTATTCCGGAAGGCCCCTCCCCAGCCCCTCCCACCAGCCCGGCCCCCTTCGATGGGCACCTCGATGGCCTTCTGGTAGATGCCTCGGGTGTGGGTGACTCCGTAGATCTCGGCCGCCCGCTTGATGTAGATGTTGAACATGTCGTACTGCTGCGCAGGCTCCACGGCCCTGGTGGCGCGCTCGTACACGGCCATGGCATGCCGGGCCAGGCCCCACTCCTCCTCCAGCTGCGCATACAACAGGTACAAGGCTGTGTGGGGCAGCGGGGAGAGGGGAGCGTGGTCGGCCGGGGCTAGTCAGAAACCTGGCCTGCCTGCCCACCGCACTCCCTCTGCCCGCCTCACTCTTGGCATATTTTGGTGGGCAGCCATCCAGAGCCTGTTCAAACAGGTCCCGTGCCCGCTCCAGCTTGCGGCCCCCATAGCGGGCGATGAATTTGGTCAGGTAGGTGCTCCAGATGTCCGACACATTGGGCCACTTGAACAGCGAGATGCCGCGCTCATACGCCTGTTGCCAGAGGGGGAGTCACACGTTAAGAGTCTGTAGGTAGAGACCACTGGGAAGCTGGGATGTCCTTGGGTCACACCTGTAGGGAGCCTGCCAGGGTCTCGCTCAGGCCCTTCCCTGTCCATGCCTCCCTGTGCCTAATGACATTTATGGGGGTCTTTGCTCTGCACAATCTCCCTCTGAGAATCAAAAGAACAGGGGTGCCATGAGACCTGTGAAGCAAAGT